CCTGGCAGCTGAGACAGGCCACCCCAACTGACTTGGTGGCACAACAGTGTCAGCCTTATCAGGATAGGTCTCCCCAGACCGACCCACTGGCTGTGAACATTCTAAACTAACACGAGTCTCATTAAGTGTCTAGTTTAAGGGTATTACACAGAAACATACCAAGGGCACATGAATCAAATATCTACTTTTGTTCATTTATAATAAACTCATAATGTACATCATTCTGATTGAAGCTAAGGGCATACAAAACTGTCTAACAAGCTCTTCTAGACCCTTCGGCTTGTAACAGCTCACTTTTTCTAGCAGGTGCTGTAAATGGTCTTCTATGCATGTGACCAAATCATCTCAATATACTTTCTCTCATTTTATCACCTATAGGAGCTACTCCTAGGTCCCTTTGTATGACTTCATTTCTAACCCTGTTCTTTCTAGTTTTACCATCCATCCATCTAAGCATTTGCATTTCTGCCACACTCATTTTTTGATATAGCAGTTAGATCATAATACATGAAGGCTAACTAAAGGAAATATTATTGTATGATAATTTACATCACCATGACATAGGAAGATTGATGACATTTAAATATTTAACAAAGTTGTTGATGATTCAAACATATATTTTTATTCTTTTTGTCTCTATTGGGTTGTCATAGGAAAAATTTGAATGCTTTCAAGTTGAGAAAAAAACTTTGCTTTGTAAATCTAGTGAAATGGTTAAGACTAAGGTTTGTTTTTGGGTTGCTTCAACTTGCTTAAGGGGGAAAACAATTTTATTTGGCTTGTTGATGATAAGAGACTGTTATAAATCCCCTTCTTCAATCTCATAGACACTGATTTTTTCTTACAAGCATTTTTTGCAAATATTTAAGTATTATTTGGAGTTGTTATGTTTTTCTGTTAAGCTTTGTGAGTTTCTAACCATTTGTTTTTCCATTAAGCTTTCTGTTAAGCTCTCTATATATCTGTGCATGCACGTGTGTGCATGAATATATACTCAATATACTCATACATATTGAAAACATTTTCTGCTTTCATCTTTTACTTCAGGTGAGTTCAATTTCTATATTTCTACTGTAAAATCTTTATTTTTTTTTTATCCTAATCTGTTTGACCATTTCAACATACTTATGCCCAATTTTCTGATGTTCAACCATGTTCTAGAGCCAAAATGCTAATTATGCCATTCTACAACAGCTCAGAGTCCAGATCAGCCAGCCTAAGTCTCTTGTGAACAGTGAGACTAACATGAGTACTGGATTAATATCTGAGCTGACTGAAACCCATTTACAAATTTGACTTAGTTAATACCCATGTGAATTGGCTGAGACCTTTTCATATATGTTATTTGCCAGGAACCAGTGCTTTATTTACTAAACGGATTCTAGTCAGGATGCACTTTTGGCTTTATTGATTTCATTGGGAATGTACAAGGCTATATTCTTCTTACTCCACTTCCTTGTGAGCTGGTATTTTGCCTGAAAATGAGAGGAAGCAGGCAGTCATTCCAATAGATAGCAATGGGGCGGGTTCGGGGAGGGTTTTGTAGATTCTAGACCCTACCTGCCTCTCTAAACTTCCCAACCTGTACCCGCCCCAAAACCCATAGCGGGTTGGATTTTAAAAATCCAAACCCTCCCTGCACATGAAAATGCAAAACCCTTCCCACATTCAAGGGTAGGAGTGGGTTGGGTTTAGAATCTGCATCTAATTTCCTATTATTTCTTGTTATATCTAAGCAATAAATAAGTAAAATAACACAAGCAAACAACAAAATTTTCAATTACTTGATTGAGACATTTAAAAAACATGTAAACTATCAATTGTCTTCACATAAAAAATTCAAAATATTATTAAATTCAACACCTAATACATAAAGTTTCTATGCTTTCCAACAATATACTAGTCAGGGAGGGTCGGTTTAGTACCCTACCTGTACCTGTATGGGTTATAGAATCCCAAAACCTGTCCTTCAAGAAAAAAAAAACCCGCCCCGACAGGGCGAGTACCCACTGGGTGGGGTACAAATTGCCATCCCTAGAAGCAGACAATCATTGCAATATAGCTGTAACAGTTCTCAAATTTTAGAGGACTTGGATCAACAAACAAGGATTCCCATATATAGTTGCAATTATACAGGAATACAACTTCTGTCTAATGCAGTACTTGGTATGTATCTGATGTGGTCATGTAGTTATTTCAAATTAGTTTTCAAACTTGGGTTGAAGATGTTCTTACATGTTGATCACGGATCTGATGTTTTATGATTCTTGTTCAGCTTTTATTGTCCTACACTGTCTGACTGGCAAATTTAGTCTGTGGATAGAGAGCGGGCATGTGATTTTGGTTAGTTTGATTGTGTAGAATTGGGATTAGATTGCTTTTGATGGATGAATAATCTAATACCATTTGTTTTAAAGGAACCCCTATAGCCACTTTTTGGCACCTTTATAGTTGGTGGAACCCCATCATCCCAGTAAAGCAGGCAGAGATATGGGTGTGATTCCCATACATAGTAGAAGAAACCAGAACCAAAGAATGCTCTGCTTGACATAGCTACAGGTATGTATCTACCAATTATATTTTATTTAAACCCGCCGTGTTCAAATTTTGCCTTTATTGATTCTGCTATCTGACCATGACTATGTTCTTATATATACAGGTGCCTTGCACTTACTAGCGCAATAACTGATTTCTGTCCACACCCTGCACTTACTAGTGCATCAGCCACACCGTTGGATGGCGATAATCCTAAAACATTACTTCGGAATAATGAATGGCTGCACATGGAAATTATTAGTACTTTGATACTTTCTAGGACATTATTTGGGTCATCATCATTCAAAACTTGCGGTTGCAGTCCACTTTCCAGCTATCATATACTTTCAACTCTGACTCCTCTTGCTCTTTTAGCTATTGTTGGAAGTTTACACTTATTTATGGGTAAAGATGCCTTTCCATAATATTCTTCTTGTAATGTGGCTTGAAGACAGGGAAGCCAAAGATTTTTGAGGTAGGTTCACTAGAGAAGTGGGTTATTGGCTTTCATATGCGGTCCCTAGGCTCTGTTGATGAATCTGAGTTCTAAGGAGCATTCAATACAACAAGCAATTCAAGTTTCCAAAAAAGAAAGCGCATGGAAAAGGCTAGTTAGTCTAAAATTATAGTTTTGAGGAGATTTTTTCAAAACTAGGGTTCAAGAACTTTTCTTGTTCCCATGTGTTAGCAGGGGAGGATCTCAGGAGGCACACTTGTGAGGATAGAGATTCGCCCCATGTAAAGATTGTTCAGATGCTCAAGTCCGATTTATTGACATGGGGAAAGCCAAGGCGGAGGAATGTGGTATGTGAAACCGGCAATTGCAGAAGTCAGCCCGCTGTACATGATTTTATCTTCAGCCCATCCGGCCCATTTCTAAAGAATGAGAAAAAGGACCGTGAGGGAAAGGTAATTCTCAAGGTGGGTGACTGAATTGAAACAGGAGGGAAGTGCACTTTTTTTAGTCTGGGAGTATGGCTGGATTAGAACTCTGGGTACGTGGAATCAACATTGTTGCAAAGGAAGCTCCGTTTGATGTTTGATTACTAACTTTGTTACAATTTTAATCGTCTAATTGAATGTGTATGGATCGCTGGGAACCGGGAAAGTGGGAAGTACTTTCTGAAATTTCTCCTTGGATTCAATTCTCCTCGGCCCATAGTGAAAGGTTTTATCATTTTTTTTTTGGTTAAATACAACACTTCTAATGATGGACAAAATCCTCCCCAAACGTTACAATCCGTTCGTATGTGATGTCATCTGAGTGATGTATTTTTTAATTCTAAAATCGACTTTGCCGTTCATTATTCTTCAAATTTTAAAAATAAAACCAAACACGGATTCTCTCACAGATCAAAACCCATATGCCGGAGAATGTGAGAAACACTTTCAAAACAATAATACGTTGGGTTTTTCAGAGGAATATCTGGCCGTAGGTGATTGCTCTGTTTTACCGCCATATTTCTCTTACCAAGATCGGAATAATCGAGTGTAAAGAAACTTGTGTGATGCTTGCCTTCCACCAGTTGGGTTGTGTGATACTTGAGAGAAGAGTACAAAGATGTTTAGAATTGGTGAGGCAGCAGCCATGGTAGGACATGTATATTCGCTCACTGGCCTTGCAAGGACCAAGTATACATGTGGACACAAGTACTCAACGTACAAGTAGATGAACTCCTAACATCTATTCCTCTCTCTCTCTCTCTCTCTCTCTCTCTCCAAAGGCTCTCTGAAAAGCTTTACATGTAAACTTGGTGTTATCATCGGAAGTTTTGAACCAAACAGTGAAAACAAAAGAGGCCCACGAACCAGTCTTAAAAGCCAGTTAACTTGGGAAGGAGTTTTTGGGATTCGAGTGTATCAATCAGCCAGCAATCAGTCTTAAACACCTTGCTGTATTTTTGCAATTTTAGCCTGTGCCCTCTCTAGGATCTGCCTCTTCTACAATTCTAAATCTTCTCATAAATCTCCCCAAATTTCTGAACGGATTCAGCAAGCAATCTAAAGGAAGAACCTCCTCCAGCATAATCTCCAAATCTTGGTCTATTAGGTGGAACTGTGGAAGGCCAACTGAATCATCCTCATCACCCTCTAATGATTCTGAATTCCCAGGGTTGTCCCTCATCTCATCCAACCCATTGGCACAATTCAGATAAACTCTGGTTCATAAAGACATGCTCACCTGAATCTAGTCGACATGACAATCCAGGTTGACGTGCTGACGATGTTATGGGCTATCCATTTTCTAAAAATAAACCCATTTACTGGTTGTATTGACGGTCTTAGCTAACTTTATCTTCTCCTTTTTGCATTTCTTCTTCAAAGAAGAGAAAATATGGGAATAGTGAAAGGGGGACTACGATGGTCTGAAACTCAGATTATGAGAAAGAAAACAGGGGAATCTGGGTGGAGATCTGGTTAGATTGCCCAGTTTCTTTTTTATGATATGTTACATTTGAAAATTGAAAGTTGTCCATTGTCAGAAATTTCCCGGGTACTTTAAGTAATTTCTTAAACAGGAGGGTAAATTTGTGCCCATTTGCTAAATCATAAAGGTAGTTTAAGTATTTAACAATTTTTTTTTCTCAAATTCCACTTTGTGACTATAACATTGAAGCCCCTAGATGAATTTGGATTATCTCCATGCTCCTCACATCTATCTAGCTCACACATGAATTGTGAACATCTCCCCATACCTTGTAGGGGAGGAGCCGGGATCTGCTCCTCACAAATGGGCGGCTCACAGGCACATCCATATTGTACTCCAACTTATGTGATTGACATCATCCAGGTCGTTGAAGCAATTAATTACTCAACCTACA